CTGAACAGTACATGGGGCCCTATTCTCTCTACTTGTGTATGTGTTTGTACATATGTTGGAAATTTTTCATAACTCAGTCTTTGAAAAATTGGTAATAAAAGGCCTTAGCGATTATTTATTATAAATCCTAATTTTATACAAGGGGACACTATGCGCAGAGAGCTACTGCAGCTCACACAGCTAAGAACAAGATGGGCAATACAGAAACTGGATGATTTCAAATACCAACAGCATTTGAATGTTTAACAAACATCTATTCTATCATTTCTTTACTCTAACTAGATTCTATGGTTACCTGAGAATCTGGAGGACAGATTAAACGTGTTAATAAAAAAAACAAAAAAAATAAAATGTGATTCTGAGAGTCCAAAAGCGCAAAGGCTCTCAGAGAAGAGAAGATGCAGAGTGTGTTAATCTGGGAAATCTATTTAGACTTTTCAATCAGAGTACACATATCTGAAGAGTACATCGGTAGACTGCTTCTCTGACTGCATTATACTTATATCATTTATTTGCCCAAACAAAATTCTTAAACCACTAAGGACAGTAACAATGTGTTTTATTTCTTCTTTTTAATTCTCTAATAGTTCCAAGTGTGAGATATGACACAAAAGTAATGTTACAACTTTAATAAGCAAAACAGAGCTTACACATAGATTTACGGTAGTTAAGTCACCAACTTGTCAAATCCACTTAGTGGATAGAAACATTTCCAGCAAATCGAGTAAGACTTTAGTGCTTTAACTACCACATTTAATACCAGTGCAGCATCAGGTAGCAGAAAGGATGCAAGAACTGAAGGAAAAACAAAATGGAAGAAACTGCATATATTTAACGATGAAACAAAAGCAATCTCATTTTTGCCAAGAAATATGCTTGCTATTATTGTTACTATTCAACATTGTTTTGAAAGTATTAGCTAATTTAATAAGAAATGGATGAATAAAGAATTTAACATATACCAAAAGAGCAGAGACACAATGATCACCTTTTGTGATAAGACAGTCAATCTGAAAAATCTAAGAGAATCTGTGAAAACTTTTTAGTACTAAAAAGAGTTCAGTTTGCTGATACATTTATAAAACATAAAGATGTATAGTTTTTACATATACTTTGATAATAAATTGGAAAATATACTGAAAAAAGAATAAAAAATATAAAATATCTAGTAATATATTTCATAAAAAATGGATGACTAGTCTGTTTCTGGAAATATGATGAATTAGATACTCTAAAGGGTTGCCTAATTACAATAAAACTATAAATAAACAACATTTTTTAAAACCTTGCTGGACTCAAAAAAAAAAAAAAAAGAAATCTACTGGTGGAAGGTAAGGAAAAGGAGGAGAGGGTGAGCATAGTAAAGCAGAAGAAAAAGAAACCAAGGGTAAAATAATTGGAAAGGAAGAAATTTATATGATTACCTACATAGAAAATCCAAAAGAATCTACAGATAATTTATTAGAATAAGTTTAGAAAGGTAGTTGTCTATAATTTTAATATCCAAAGGCATCTGTATATCCCAGCATCAAACAGAAAATATAATATTTTAAAAAACATACCATCTAGAACTGTGGCTGCCCCAAGATGAGACTGTTAGAATATTTTTCCTTCCCCAATCTTCCCTTACTCGTAGGAGCCCTTTAGAATCCAATTACTCCCTTATTTCTCCCTTCCCCAACTTACAGGTTTTGAAAAGAGAGTTTAGTGCTTTTGGTTAGAGAATAATCTTAAAGTTTCCTCTTACAGTATCTCTTGTACATTAAGAGTTCTTTTTTTTTATCCCCCCAAAGCATACAACATTAGATAGTTTGGAACCTATATTTGATATTCTCAGTCATTCTACCATAACCACTTACATTTAACCATATTTATTACAGGGTTATTTGCTTGCCATTATTTCCTCTCTTCATTTCCCTTTATCTTGAAAAGTCTCTGCTGATTGATTTGCTGTTTGGTTAAGCATCTTTCTAGAAAATTTTCCTCAAATGTGATATCCTTGCATGTCCCCATATCTTCCTTTCATCTTATCAATAAATGTTATCTTGACTGGGTCCCTTCCTATCAGTAATCTATAGATGTTATTCCACTGCCTTCTAGTTTCTGGTGTTGATGATAAAGGGTCTGTAATCTGGTTCTTCTTCCTTTGTAAGTAACATATATTCTGCCTGAAAACATGTAAGATTTTCTTTTTATCCTTGAAATTCTGAGATACTCCTAGGTTTCTTCCCCGCCCCCAACAAATTCAGTCTCAAACTTGGTAAACCTTTTAACTACACACTGTTTTTTCAGCTCAAGGGAATTGTTTTCTATCTCTAGTTCAATTATTGTCTCTCCACAATTTGTTCTTTTTCCTCCCTCTGGGACTCCTGATATTTGCATGTGAAGTCCCCCAAGTCTCTCTTCTTTCTCTCTAGGGTGTATTTGCTCTGTGTTTTGAGATATTTCTTGCACTTGAACTTCCAAGCTACTTACTCAGTTGTTCACAGTGACCATCCAATCCTTCAATTCAACTACTATATATTTTTAAATTCAAAACACAATCTTTGTGTAGTTCCAGAAAGCACTTTTCACGCTATAATTCCATCTCTTAAGTAGCTGCTGTCTTTATTTAATCATGGTATTCTGTTTTCTTCAGCAGTTTTATTTCCTGACAGCTGCTATTCTGGGTGTTTTGTTTATTCTTTTTGTGTCTGGATACTGGATCCCCTTAGCTACACTGCACTTTTGCTTTGTCTCCTCATTGCTCTATTCACCCTTGGATAATTTAAATTATGGCAACCTTGCCAGCAAGGGCACGTGCAGCAGTCTCTGCCCCATGGGTAGGTAATATATCAAATGTGCCAGTCACTGAATCCATTTGGGGGTGTAAAGAAGAAGTTTCCCTGGTGTCCTCACCGTCCCAGCCTCAAGGGTAGGAAAAACTTATCGCAGCTGTTGAATCCCCCTGTTGAGGTCCTCAGATCTCCAGGGGTCAAGCTCTCTCCAGGATTTTGAGCATTTCTTCTTTCTCCAGTGCTCTCTCCTGGCCCCATTCTGCCCTCTGGCCCAGAGGAGAACAAAGTCCTTCACAAGTGTCTCAGTTACTTCTCTCATAGAGTCAATGCCTTGTTCATTCCTTCCAAGTCCTGCCTGTCTGCCACCCCCACAGCTGCTCCACGCAGGGGAGTTTGCTGGTAGTTGGAAAGGGAGGATGGCAAGAACATGAGTTCTAACAGTCAGCTTCCCAGAAACCCCTCTAGCCTTCAAATAAGTGGAAAATATTCCAATTTGCCATCCATAGGTTTCAAGGAACGTAATGAAGAATATGAAGATACTTGCAAAAGCAATCCAAAAATATCATTCATTCAGTAAATATCTGAGCGACCACCATGTGCAGGGCACTGTCCCAGGAGCAGAAACACCAGTATTGATTCCTAAGGAGTTTCCCTGGAAAAGGGGCCACACTAATTTGCATGTTTAAGTTCTGATATTAGTGTAACGAAGGTCCTGTTAAATTTTTAAAAAGTGAAATGAAAAAGTGGTTCCCACTATGTACTCACTTTATCATTAAACATACTTTTCTGGGATAGGATTGCCATTTAGATTTAAGATGAAAGAAGTTAACATTTTCACAGGCATTATTTACTAAATATATGGAAAAATGTATAACAAAATAAGTTGTCTTTTCTTTTTCCTCCCTTAAACTATTATAATATATAAGTGGAGAATAAGAACCCACAAGAAGGACGGCCTTTCCCTTTCTGTCATTTTTGACAGGTCTCCCTCATCGTTATGCAGCATATTCCCTAGGCTGCAAGCCATCAGCTTCTGTCATACATTAATTCTAAAGCTGCACACAAAGCCCAACCATGGGCAAGCTCTTCTGTAAGGGAGTCTAGGCACTCTGTGAACTCAGAAGAATTCATGTGGGGGCCGGCCCCGTGGCTTAGCGGTTAAGTGCGCGTGCTCAGCTACTGGCAGCCCGGTTTCGGATCCGGCCGTGCACCTACGCACTGCTTGTCTGACCATGCTGAGGCCGCGTCATGTGTGTCATGTACAACTATGACATACAACTATCTACTTGGGCTTTGGGGAGAAAAAGGGGAAAAAAGGAGGAGGATTGGCAATAGATGTTAGCTCAGGGCCGGTCTTAATCAGCAAAAGGAGGAGGATTGACATGGATGTTAGTTCAGGGCTTATCTGATCTTCCTCAACACACACAAAAAAAGAAGAAGAATTCATGTGAAAGTACAGATAAGTCAGCTTTTTATAAAGGAAAAAAACAAAAGTAGTAAGAATACAAGAAAGTAAACAAGAATTTGTTGGGATATGTGAAGGGAAAATAAAAGCATGAGAATCTGCAGAATTTAGTAAAGTACCAAGAATGAGAATGGAGAAAAGGTTAGGGAAGCACAGTTGGCTTCCTATTGGCTTTAATGAGACTCTTCAAGTGTTCCAGTGTTCAATGTTTCTAGTATAGCAATTGGCTGAAGAGTCAGTCATGAAGTCTAAATCAAAGATAGAAGATGACTGGGCTGGCCCCGTGGCTTAGCGGTTAAGCGCGCGAGCTCCGCTACTGGCGGCCCGGCTTTGGATCCCGGGCGCGCAACGCACTGAATCTCCAGCCATGCTGAGGCCGCATCCCACATAGAGCAACTAGAAGGATGTGCAACTATGACATACAACTATCTACTGGGGCTTTGGGGAAAAAAAGGAGGAGGATTGGCAATAGATGTTAGGTCAGAGCCGGTCTTCCTCAGCAAAAAGAGGAGGATTAGCACAGATGTTAGCTCAGGGTTGATCTTCCTCACAAAAAAAAACAAAAACAAAGATAGAAGATGACTGAAAAGGGCCTTACATGTACAATAAAAAGTTTAACTTATTTCCCAACAGACAGAATGAGGTTACCTTTGATAGTCTACTCACTCCCACCCCACCCTACCCACCCAAGATGCATCTCAAGAGTGTCAAGGACAATAAATGAGAATCTTGTAAATGGATTTTTTTTAAGCACATACCTGTTTTAGGCCATAATGCATTGACTGCAATTTCACCTTTAAATTCCTCTGCCATTCCAAGCACACACATAGACATACCATACTTAGCAATGGTATAAGCTGAAAGAAACCACAACGAATGGTATTTAATTAAGAAACAAACTAATTTGTGGGTATAAATAACCAATTTCCTTCTATTACTATTTCCTCCCTGATACATTTTTTCAGAATTCTTTAATAATATAATATGTACAAAATATAATTTTTAAAATGTACTGTTTTTAAAAGAACCATTTTTATGGAAGTAGCTGAACAGGAATAAACTAGTTTTATATATTTCCATTCTAATAATTTATTAAAAGAAAAGAAACAATAATAAACTTGCACTCTTCTTAATATAGAGATAAGTTACATTATTGTTTCTTAATGTTTTCTTTCCTTTGGTGTTTTTTTTTGTGAGGAAGATCAGCCCTGAGCTAACATCCATGCCAATCCTCCTCTTTTTGCTGAGGAAGACTGGCCCTGAGCTAATATCCCTGCCGATCTTCCTCCACTTTATGTGGGGTGCCGCCACAGCATGGCTGGACAAGCAGTGCCTTGGTGCGCGCCTGGGATCCGAACCCGGCCGCCAGCAGTGGCGCGCGCACTTAACAGCTACGCCACAGGGCCGGCCCCTTTTTTTTCTTTTTAAAGGATGAAAGTGTGGGTGTTTGTTATTTAGCATACTCTCCTTAAGTCACTAGTTTGCTGTGAAATGTAATGTATTTCATGGACAGTTTTTAATCAACTTTATTAAACAATAAGTTACATACAATGAGACACACCCATTGGGACTTGAAGGAGCTTTCTGGGATGATGGAAATCCCTATCTAATTTGGGTGTTGGTTTAACAAGCGTATACATTTGTCAAAACTCATCAAACTAAACCATTAAGATCTGTGCATTTTATTGAATGTAAATTATACCTCAATTTTTAAAATTGTAGATAAAAGATTAAGAATCTGCTTTCCAAAATGGTACTGATTCTGCATAGAAAATTTAATGTTGAATACTATGTACAAATTGTGAATACATCATAGATACACTGATTTAATAAAAAACAAATTAACCAAACAAACCATCCCCTCATTCTACCACCTACCACAGTGCTGTTTGAACCACAGTGGATTTAGGTTCAGTGGTGGACTGAGATTGAGGATATGAGCGATTTTACTCTTTTTCAAATGAGGAATACATGCTTTGGATCTGAAAACAAAAGAAAACACAAATCAATAGCTTTCTAACACCTTCCCCAGTTTTAAAGCTGTATTTTAAACTGCTGCTATACAGCAACTGAACTTGCTCAGAAACCTGTAGGGTACTTTTGCTTGTTTTTACTTTTCTAGAATGAAGATAAAAAAGCAACTAATTTTCATTCTTTGAAACTTTGCTTAATGGCCTGACAACACGACCTGCTTGAAGAAAATAATCAAATCCTTGGCACATTAGCCTTAAATCCAACCTGGGTACTTTTGCTTGTTTTTACTTTTCTAGAATGAAGATAAAAAAGCAACTAATTTTCATTCTTTGAAACTTTGCTTAATGGCCTGACAACACGACCTGCTTGAAGAAAATAATCAAATCCTTGGCACATTAGCCTTAAATCCAACTGAGGTTATCCTCAACTATATCCTTCCAAATTCTCTCTCCCCAACACACACACACACATTTCAGTAACAGTTAATGTACTTGTAAGTACATTACTGTGTGTAATGTGTAAGTACATTACTTACTGTGTAAGTAACACAGCCAGCACGGTGGTAAAGAATATGAGTGTTCAAGTCAGTCAGACCTGGGTTCAAATCCTCTTTCTGCCCCTTCATTGTGTGATCTTGGGCAAAATACATTGTATTCTAATTCTCAGTTTTCTCATTTGCACATGTCGGTAATATCTGCTACCATGTAGGACTGACCAAGGGATTAACACGAGATGAGATACTCAGAATAGTGCCTATACTACACATGAAATAAACAACTGCTGTTATTAGTATTACATATGCTGAGTTATTTCATCTTAGTAGGGGTAGTATTCCACGACATTGGAACTGTAATTTAATAATATAACTCCTAGTCTATTCCCAAATTTAATTTGCACCAATACGCAATGGAATATGCCTTTGAGAGCAACATTTAGTCTTGTTTTGTTTTTTTGTGAGGGAGATCAGCCCTGAGCTAACACCTGATGCTGACCCTCCTCTTTTTTTTTTTTTTTTTGCTGAGGAAGATTGGCTCTGAGCTAACATCCGTGCCCATCTTCCTCTACTTTATATGGGACGCCACCACAGCATGGCCTGACAAGTGGTGCTTCGGTGCCTGCCCCCAGGATCCAAACATGTGAACCCCGTGCCGCTGCAGCAGAGTGCGTGGACGTAACTGCCTGCACCACTGGGCTGGCCCCGCAACATTTAGTTTTATATATTTTTTTAAAACTGTGCATAAAGGTAGGCAATTTATTTTACAAAAGACTCAGGTCCAATATTTTAATATTTTAATTATTAAGCTACAACACATTCTAGCTTAATAACATATTGTAGCTTAATAATTTTATAGCTTTTAGTTTTATTTCACATTCAATAACTTCTAGGACTTTAAACTAGTCCATTCTTCTTTCAAATCAGTTTTGTTATTAGCAAATGTGCAACCTTCTTGTTACCATCTGCAACATCTTTTCAAGTTCACAAACCAAATATAATCAATATCACTAAAGAGATTTTGTACACATTGTTTTTCCTTTCCAAAGGTGCTTCACTTTTATGAGGGTGAGGAGGGGAGGGCCAAACAATATTACAGCTGATATTCATTAAAACAGTGAAGCTGCACCTCAAAGCATCAAGAGGAAACAAACCAAATCTATTTCAGGCAATAAAACCATATTTTACACTCAAAGGAAAGAGCTCAATTTATTTACATTATAAACACAAGTTTCTCCTTTGATCTATTAGACAAAACCTTTCCACCCGCACTTTGCCCATGTGGCCCTCAACATGTACTAATCCTAAATCAGGTGCATTTTCACAGCAACACGCCCTGTCTTATATATTATATTGAAAACTCTTAGCACCACACTTAGATATTAATACTTTCAGTTTAATAAATAGTTAAGTTTATTGAAAACTTACTGTGTGCAAGGCATTGCACTTACTACTTTTACATGAATTATTTTACTTAATCAGGGTTGCAAGCTCAAAAGCCTATAGGGCAGTTGAGTAAAGAAATAAAGTGAGCTAGGAATAAGAAAAATCAACTGTTCAGAAATACAATCAAGGGGCCAGCCCCGTGGTGTGGCGGTTAAGTGCACGCACTCCACTGCTGGCGGCCTGGGTTCAGATCCTGGGCGTGCATCCAGGCACTGCTTGTCAGGCCATGCTGTGGCAGTGTCCCATATAAAGTGGAGGAACATAGGCACAGATGTTAGCCCAGGGCCAGTCTTCCTCAGCAAAAAGAGGAGGATTGGCATGGATGTTAGCTCAGGGCTGATCTTCCTCACAAAAAAAAAAAGAAATATAATTGAGGGCCAGCCCGGTGGCGTAGTGGTTAAGTTTGCACGCTCTGCTTCGGCAGCCTGGGGTTCGGAACCCGGGTGCAGACCTCCACACCGCTCATGAAGCCATGCAGTGGCAGCATCCCATATAAAAAATAGAGGAAGACTGGCATGGATGTTAGCTCAGGGACAATCTTCCTCAAGCAAAAAAGAAGAAGATTGGCAACAGATGTTAGCTCAGGGCCAATCTTCCTCACCAAAAAAAAAAAAAGAAAGAAAGAAAGAAAAAGAAATATCATCAAACTTTATTACTGAATTTTTATATGTATTTAATATGACACAAACACATATAATACTGGAGATTACATATTTAATTAAAACTTAAAAACACAAGTTAAGAGTCTGCCTTCCAACCCTGATTCGCTAAATCACTAAAATACAAGTCACAGGCCACAGGGCCCTGGGTGCCAGAGATGAGGAAACAGCTCCAGACCCTTGCTGAAACCTCCAAACACTCTCTCCCTAGGTTTATATTTTTAAACACCTGTTTACAGGGGCCGGCCCCATGGCTTAGCAGTTAAGTGCACGCACTCTGCTAGTGGCGGCCCAGGTTCGGATCCCGGGCGGGCACCCACGCACCGCTTCTCTGGCCATGCTGAGGCAGCGGCGTCCCACATACAGCAACTAGAAGGATGTGCAACTATGACATACAACTATCTACTGGGGCTTTGGGGAAAAAAAGGAGGAGGATTGGCAATAGATGTTAGTTCAGGGCCGATCTTCCTTACAAAAATAAATAAATAAAATAAATGAGTGTTTATATTCAATCAAAATTCTTTCACAAAGTTACCCACTGTAAAAGACTTTGATGCTCAGATAATTTCTTCATGTAGCACATAACTGCATCACACAGCAGCACTGCTTATTTTATTTGAAAATAAACACAAACTCTATTGAAATGTCAGTCTTTTTTCTAGTTCATGAAGTTTTTCAGCACAATCTTTTCTATACGCTTGCCAAAGTTCTTACTGTGGTTTGATTCACTATGATATACCTTACATATTGAATTTACAAAAGTAAATTCAATAAAGTAAGCTCTCACTCATTTTACTTGAACATATGGCCCTCTTGGCATATGTCTCACTTTCCCACTTCAGATAGACATAGGTATGAGAAATATTTCACTTTCCTCTTTAATATAAGAAAAACAACTGCATAAGCACAACCATAAATGGCAACTTTTTAGCCTGTCCTCAGCATCTGGAAGACAATGGAGCTCGTGCCCTATCTAATGAGGCAGTTGATACTCCACCAGTCAGCTATAGCAGCTAAGTGTTGCCATGTGGGAATGCTGTCTCTATGTGGCCAGATTTTCCCATGTTTTAAGAAAATCCAGAATTCTGGATTTTTGTGTAAATCTCCTGATTTTTTTCATGTAGGCAACTAATGAAATTTTGAATATAGGTAACTAATACAAACAATTTTCTTTAACACTGCCAGGTCAAGTTTTGCAGACCCAGCAAAACACATCTGAGGGCAAAGTTTAGGACTAAGTTAATAAAGTGTATATTTAACCCTCATGACCAATCCTATGACATACTTCTTTATTATCCCCATTTTACAAACGAGGAACACTGAATCTACAAGAGGTTAAGTTACTCGCACAAGGTCACGAGATAGCAAGTTATGAGGAATGCGGGGCAGGATTTGAATCCTACTCAAAGGAGTCTGATTCCAAAGCCCAAGGTCCTAACCACCTGTTCTATTATACATATAAGGCAGATACATATAAGATACATAAAAGGCAGAGAGGCAAGTTCTAGCCATCCTTTTGTCCACATGGAAAATGGTAGAACCTGAGGGTAAATAAACAGATAAACAAATGGACACACAAACAAAAGAGTGGACTGTCTGACCAATCCAGAACATATCAGGACTACATTCACTTTCATTCTATATTCTACATTTCCCCTGATATTGCCCAAGATAGCATTAGCCTTTTGTCAGTTACATTAAAATGTGATTCATAATAAGCTTCCTGCTATTTATATAACTAAAACTCAAGTGTTTTGCAGAGGAAGGAGAGACCATTGCTGGCTTGAGTAATCAGAAGACTACGAAAGACCTGGTATGCATATATGTATTTATTCATGCAAACATTTGCAAATGCTTGACCTATACTTTAGTCTTTATTAGATTCACAGAGAAAAGGAGCTCTGAATAAAAACTATTTATTTAAAATTATATTTACTGAATTGGAGCACTTTTAGGCCTTTACAAGGATTGACCAGATTTTAAACAGTATTGCTAATCTGGTTCAAATATGTTTACAATTATTCTCTGAGAAAACTGGCAACATCCTCCCCCACAACTCTTTAACTTACGTAAGGTAGGTGCCTCTGGTGTTGACGTTCATCATCAAATCCACTCTCTTCGTAGGTGTCTCCAATGTGTTGGTCAAGCTAATAGCACTGGCATTATTCACCAAAATATCAATTCCTGTTTTCAAATAATCAACTTCCTATTAATGTAATTTAAACTTTATAACAGAAAAATAAAAACATTTACTCTATACAGTTGAACCCTAAATTTACTCACAAATACTTCTTTTAGATAATATGACTGACCAATACAACAATGCATGACTTGGGAGGTGTGTTTAAATGGCCAAATGATTTCACTGGCACAATGGAGATAGCCAGTCACCAGAGCTCCACGTGACACTACAAGGATGCTTAGTCCTTAGTGGTTTGTAGCTTCCATTCTTATCTGTTGTCTTACTTCCTGGTCTTCCTTCTCTGTCACCATGAACCTTAGGTTAACTTCCTTAAAGTATTCTCTCCTCTCTAGCATCTTTCCAAGGCCTGCTCTCCTTCCAATCACACCACCCTCCCTCTTCTCTAAGGCCCTTACTTAAACAAAAGAGCTCCTTTCTGGTCTTGGGAACTGGCAAAAAAGAACAGACCTAGAGTTTCAATTCCAGTCAAATCAGCAAAGTAGATCAAGTTTGCTTTGGTAACCCATACACAAAATAAAATAAAATAAATCTAGAATAATTATTATTTCTGCATATTCTATCCAGTCCCTACACAAATGTAACATATTTTGTTTATAGTTACAAGTTTAATTAAATATTTTAAATGAAAATGGTAAAATACAAAAGTATCTCAAACCCTTCTCTGTGTTTCTACATGGCCTTCATAATTCTTTCCAACAGGCACTTAATATTCCATCAAATAGAAATATCACCACTTCTACTGTTAGGGTTAGACTGCTGCAATAAATATCTTTTGTTATCCTCGTAACTTTGCTATATGCCCCCTCTCTCACAAAATGTGGATAATGGTTTAAATAAGGTTATTATACTCACTAAAACATTTTAGTCATAAGCATCCTTTCTTCATATATAGTAACATTATAAAATTTTCATCTCATCCTCATTCCTCAATTTCCATATCCTCTAGTATAGAGTTTGTGTTGCTAATGTTTTCTTAAAATGTGTCCTTAGACTAGCTTTGGATTCAGCTATCCTACATTTTTTTTTTTTTTTTTTTTTAAAGATTTTATTTATTCAGTTTTTTCCCCCAAAGCCCCAGTAGATAGTTGTATGTCATATCCTACATTTTATAGCTTCGTTATAACAAAACTCAAACTCAAGTAAATCATCTGACATCTGAGACAAGTTCTAGGTCCCGTGACTACCAACTTTCCAGAATGAACATAATGATGGCTGCCTTCACAAGTGGTAAAGGCCTGTGAGGAGAAGTTTTAAATCTAGGACACGCTTTTCAATCCACAAGCTAGTTGCTCAACCACATTACTAAGAGATAATCTGCGAGTGGCTACTCTACATAAGGCACTCTGCTAGGCCTAAGAGATAAGGAAAACGATAGTCACTAAAGAAGGTGCCAGGTGGGAACAAAGCAAACTGAGTGTAGGTCTGGGTGAGATGCTGGACTGATGGGTATATATACCACCTGTGTGGAATTACCCTACTCAGAGTTGAAGCTAGTGAGAGTTGATCTAATCAATGGATTCCTTGGGCAAATCCAGACTTCATTGACTTCATCTCTCAATATATGATAATAAGTGACAAGTATGCTAGCAGTGCAAACTCTGGACCCAAAAGCAAAGAAAGCAGATGAGGAATGAAGATACATTGATGTGGCAGATGCATCTGACTTGCCAAGGACAATGAAAAAAATGGGTCCAATTTAAGAAGTAGGTTAACATGTCTAAACTCAGAGGGGCCTGATTAAAATGGATTGGGGGACATAGTGGGAAATAATACACAAAAGGCACATATATGCCCGCTGCAGGAAAAAAAGGTGGCAGGAAAGAATGTTTCTGTGGTTTATGAAATAGCATAATTTCTTTTTTTGTGTGTGAGAAAGATCAGCCCTGAGCTAACATCCATGCCAATCCTCCTCTTTTTGCTGAGGAAGACAGGCCCTGGGCTAACATTCGTGCCCATCTTCCTCCACTTTTTATGTGGGACGCCACCACAGCATGGCCTGACAAGCAGTGCGTCAGTGCACGCCCGGGATCCAAATTCGAGCCACCAGCAGTGGAGCGCAGACACATAACCACTACACCACAGGGCCAGCCCCGAAATAGCATAATTTACTCAAGGCCTCAAAAACTCTGAAGGTGAGGGAAGGCAAGGTGATCAGGAACACCATGTAGCAGAGAACCCTGAGGGCACAGGTTTGAAAGCATCATCAACTGCTCAGGACTTTGTTAAGGACAATTGTCCAGCACAGAGAAATATCAGGACAAAGATAGACTCTTCCCTAAAAGGCAGAATTCAAAGGCCTACAGAATTCCAAACAGAAGGCCAGAACAGTAGTAACCACAGTCTGGAACTAAAACCAAACAAAAAATAAAGGCTAGGGATCTCTGTGGAAAAAGAATACGGACAAAAAAAAGAACAGGCTATGAATCATCTCTTACAAATGTGCATCGTCCTGATTAGGAGAGAGTAGCAGCTGAGTTGCTGAACAGAATTCACTCTTAATTTTGCATTGTTATGCCAGGAAAGCAAAGGTTAACAAGAAAATGGAAAGCAAAGACTTTTAAATACAGTAGTCCCTCCTTATCTGCAGTTTCGCTTTCTGTGGTTTCAGTTACCTATAGTAAATGGCCATCAGAAAATATTAAATGGAAAATTCCAGAAATAAATAATTAATAAGTTTTAAACTGCATGCTGTTCTGAGTAGCATGATGAAATCTCATGATGTCCAGGTAGGTCTCACGCAGGGCATTAACCATCCCTTTGTCCAGCATATCCACGCTGTATATACGCTACCCACTCGTTAGTCACTTAGTAGCTGTCTCAGTTACGAGACTGACTGTTGCGGTATTATAGTGCTTGTGTTCGTGTTCAAGAAACCCCTTATTTTACTTAATAACGGCCCCAAAGCACAAGAGTAGCCATGCTGGCAATTTGGATACGCCAAAGAGAAGCTGTAAGGTGCTTCCTTTAAGTGAAAAGGTGAAAGTTCCTGACTTAATAAGGAAAGAAAAAAAAATCATATGCTGAGGTTAAAATCTACAGTAACTTTTGTTGCAGTATATCGTTATAATCGTTCTATTTTATTATTAGTTATTGTTGTTAATCTCTTACTGTGCCGAATTTATAAATTAAACTTTATCATAGGTATGTACGTATAGGAAAAAACATAGTACATATAGGGTTCAGTACTATATACAGTTTCAGGCATCCACTAGGGGTCTTGGAATGTATTCCTTGGGGATATGGGGTGGGGGTAGGGGGACTACTGTACAGCAAAGTAGATACTAAGGAGGAGGGAAAGAAATCTTAGGAAAGACTCCAAAATAGAGGTAAGTCCATGACCAATTTGTAAATTTAGTAAGAATACAGAAGTGTTTCAGATGACCCTCTCAACAACAGATAGAAAAATATACTGGGGGGGGGTTTTCCCCAAAGATATGGAAAGCATATCCTCTTAATTGAAGATTTCTACCAACTGAGTTTCAGTTCCAGGACGTGAATGCCAGAGCAATAATATGGATCAAGTGGTATCCGAAGAAACAAAACCCAACATTTCCTTTTGTCCCTTCCATTTTCTCTGTCTACTCCTGGAAAAGTAGATCACATGATAGGCAAAACTGGATTAATCCAACATTGAAGATGCTGAAGGAATGATACCAGGTCCAATGGAAAACAACTGAAGCTACAGTAGCTAAAAAACTCCAGACTACCCATTCATCTGACTGAAATCTCTTTGGCTGGGACAAAATAGAATAAGAAAATTGGAGAGGAGAGATTTCTGGGCTTTAATTTTTCCAAGAAAGAAATTTCAATTTGGGTCTTTAAGTTCCCTGTGGCAACAACAGAAGAAATTCATTTGTGAGACTTCAATTTCCCTGTAGGAGCCCAATACTGGAGAGTGGAGGTGCTTCACGTTGCGAAAGTCAGGCATATACTATTGGGCTATGCTGTCATTACTACATAATATATAACTCTTTCTGGTGAGTCAGGCTGGACAGCACAGGTAGACTTCAAGATGAGAAGTTAAGTAGGGGGTAAATTCTGGGCCTGAACGGTATGGCCTCGAGTACCTTTAACTAATGTTCCGTCTCGACCCATTTCAGAGGTTTCTTGGGACCATCCCAGACAACAGCTGAACTGTTGATACTCTCTAGTAGAATTATAGGACAGAAACAAAGGTTGAGAAAGGGCTCGGATGAAGGTAGGAGCAGCCTTCCCCAATATTCTGATGATCTCATTCTCCAAGAAGGATAAACTCACCCTCAGTTGATAGACACAATGGATCAACAGAAAGAACTAAAACTGGATGAATACAGGGATAGAAAAGCTCCAGGTTCCCCCCATGCACCTTCTCCCTTAATTCCTCCCTAAAAATTAATGCATAAACTAATTAGGTCAAATCCTAATTGGCCACTTTTACTAGTAGGTGAAGTCATTATAGATAAAAAGTCCTGCAATAAATGTGGCTTCCTTTCCTTTCTCTTTCACATTTATGGCCCTATCAGCAAGAAAAAAAACAGTAACTTGGCTTTCTCTCTCCTCTTCTCACACAGGCATTCACATTACTTTGGGAAAGGTGGCCAGCTAGGGGTAAGATTTTGGATTTAAAGGAAGAGGCCTCACTTGAGCCAAAGCTCCATGCTCCAGTCCAGTATAATACAATGCTCTGCACTGGGGGTTATAAGCAAAAGCCTTGCTAACAATTAAGAATTACCTTATTCCCATTGGCCAATATCCTTTGCATGTCTGTAGAGTCTCTGGATTATTATGGGAGGAAAGTGGTAATGATTTGGGCAGGATTTGGATATGACTAGGTGCTTTGCTATAATATCATCAAAGCCTGAGGCCGGTCCAGTGGCGTAGCGGTTAAGTGCACGCGCTCCGCTGCGGCCCGGGGTTCGGATCCCGGGCACGCACTGACGCACCGCTTGTTAAGCCATGCTGCGGCGGCGTCCCATGCGTCCCATATAAAGTGGAGGAAGATGGACTCGGATGTTAGCCCAGGGCCAGTCTTCCTCAGCAAAAAGAGGAGCATTGGCAAATGTTAGCTCTCGGCTGATATTCCTCACACACACACACAAAAAATACATATATATCATCAAAGCCTTAGCTCAAGCCCAAACACCTGCCTTCTAGGAGCTTATGAACTAATTGGGGAGAAAAAAGAACTACTAAAATCTAAAGTAGTACAACATAA